GTTCATGGGGTCACGGAGAGTCGGACACGACTTAACGACTAAACAACAACAACAACAATCTGATTTATCATTGTAGATGTTCATTCCGATTGATTTACAGAGCATTTCACTACACCAGTGTCCTATTCCTGTCCAAGTGCTTATCAGCACAATTTCTCCAATAATGATGCTGATGGTGATGAATTGTGATTGAATGCAGATTCTTTAAGCAATGATATGCCCAGGTTCCAAAGAATCCACGTGATCCACAAGAACAGAATTGTGCATTGTGCCCATTGAAGGACTGCAGCACTCTGGTGCAAAGAGGCACGCTGCCTTTTAAGTTGAACAGCACCTTGTCTTCACTGCAGTGGAAACTGCTTTGGTGCCTCAGTGGTTCTGTTTGTCCATGTCCCTTATTGATACTGTACATTCTTAAGGACCTCTTCAGCTGAGGTTCACTTCTTGACCTTTTCCTGGAAACCCACTTTTGGTTTCATGGGCAGGAGAGAGGAGGGCTGAACAGATCTATCCATTTCTGTAAACTTCTCCCACGTTTCTCATGCTCCTGGCCTCACTTTGGAACTGATACTGTGGGGACAGGGACGGGTCTCTCCTCCCCCACCTCAGTTTTCTCAAATCCAGCAGAGCAAACCAATTCTAATGAGAAAGTAAGGTGTATCTCACCTACTTTGAAACCAGAATTTGCAACTGTGGTGGGGAAATAGATCATGTTCTGGGTTGTCTCTGTTCTGCTTATTTCCCCCAAGTGGGAATTTGGGAAACACATTCATCATTCTAGCAGGGTTTTCCGCAGGTCTAGTAGAAGAGGTTTTACTGCTCAGGACAGGTCTCTGGATGCTTATTTTAAATAATTCCTCACCCTGGCAGGGGCCCATGACAGTATCCAACAGTCCTTTGTGCAGTCGCGCGAAGCAGAGCGCCAGGCTAACGCTTCGACCTTGGCTGTGCCTAGTCCCGTCAGCCAGTCAGCTGCTTCCAGGCGCCGCATAGAACACCTGATGACGTCCCGGAGGGAAGCCTTCAATCGGCAGAACGCGGCCAACCGCCGAGGGCTGGGGGACCTCTCGGCCCGCGTCCGAGGGCTGAGCCTGGATCAGATCAACGAGAAGGTGAGGGAGAACGGGGACCGGATGCCCAAAGTCTGCTAAGAATGAAGCATCATGGGAAGGGGGGCAAAAGTGCCAGCGCCGTCAGAGAATCTGAGCATCTGGATATCAGTGTAATTGAAATAAATCCACCAAACAGGTGTGAGTGGCTTTGGGAAGGAAGGGTTTCCAGGGATCTTTGCCTTAATTACCTCACTAAATGTCTGGCTGGGAATTTATTCTCAGAGTTTTCAAGATTATGTTTTTACCCCAGACTAGCATTAAAATCCATGGGGTTCTTCCTTCTTTGGTTTGCCAGCTACATGGAGCTTGGCAACAGCAGAGTTTAAGTTCGTTAGAAGATTTAACACCATTTCTCATGTATGAAACAAAGAACAGGTTGCTTTGTGTAGGTGAACTAGCTCACCAGTGCAAGAATATCTGTCACATATAACTGCTCTTCTCTTGGAAGAAAATTACCACAGTTTCCCATCTCTCCTTTAATCATTTTCTTTCCCTTTCTCTGCTTCCTCCCAACAGTAGCTCTGTGTATATTTGTATATTTAAATATACGAAATATGTATTTGTATAAATAAATATGAATACCAGTAAACCCACTCTTTTTTCAGAAGTGCAACTAATCAAGTGGACTGTGTTCCCTGAAAGTTTATTTATTTGTCTCTAGGGTGCCATAAAACTCTTGCTTGTATAGTGGAGTCAAAATCAAGGGTTATGTAAATTGCCAGCGTGGACTGAGGGGAAGAACAGTCTGAGAGGGGTGGCTGTGAAAAGCAGAGGGGGGATAAAGTGAAAGATCGCTGCTTGCCCCCTCTCTTAGGTCTGTGGGGCCCAGGGAGATACTCCCTGCGCCCTCGATTCCTGTGGAGGGGCTGGTTGCTATGAGGATGGCAGACGTCACTGTGGAGGCCTCCACTGCAACGGAGCCATAGCCACAGCTGACAACGCCCTGGACCGAGCCCGTTACGTTGAGGAGGAGCTGCATAATGCAGTCTCTGAAGTGGAAAGTCTGCTGCATCAGGTAGGAGGGAGGGTGGGCATGGGGGCGGGGGTTGATATTTGGGCAGGGCAAATCTGAGAACATTTCAGTTTTGCGCCTTTCATATCCCATCAGAAGATCCCAAGGGGATACCTTTTTCCAGTTCCTTCTGGGAAGCAGAATTAATTCTGGGAAGCAGCAGCAATTTCCTTATCTCTGTGTATCTGCTGCCCCCTGCTGGTTTACCAGGCCCTTGGATGTGTTTTGGGCAGGTCTCCAATGCCAAGGCCCGGGCAGCTGAGGCAAAGCAGAGGGCACAGGCAGCCTTGGACCACGCCAATGCCACTAAAGCTCGGCTGGAGCACTCAAATAAGGAGCTGCGAGATCTTATCCAGCAAGTCAAAGAATTCCTAAATCGTAAGTACAAGAGCTAAGACCTCCCCCCGCCCACTTCTTCCTTTGTTGTATTTAATTAAAAGTATATTCTGCCCTCCGTAAACAGGTGTCCCACAAGGCGTGTTGTGTAAAATATTCCAGGTATGGTCCAAAATGTTAAATAAAATCCAACAAGCATAAAATAAAATGGAAGGACCTAAAAAATAAAACCCAGACTTCATGCCATTAGTATCATCCAATCTTCAGACATCTTCCCTGTTCCAGCTAAATGGTAGCAGCTAGCCATCTGTGACTGATTTCAAAAAGTTAAGCAAGCCCAGTCCTGGTTAAAAGCTTGGATGAGAGACCACCAGAAAACAGCAGGACTGGGGAGAGCCAGTGTGGTTAATGGTTAAAGCGCTGGACTGGTTAATGGTTAAAGCACTGGACTGGGACTGGGGAGACAGACGCAGGTTCGAGTCGACCCTCAGTCATGGAATCTCCCAGTCACTCCCTCTCAGCCCAAGTTACCTCACCGGGTTGTTGTTGGGGAGAAATATAGGACAGGGAATACTATACAGGCCCCCTTTGAATTCCTAGACAAAAGGCAAGGCCTAGATCTAATTAAGAAAAATAGACATTGAAAAACCACCTTGGAAGAAGACACTGGCAAGCTGGTTCCCTAGGATTGCCCAGAACCCTGCCTAGATGTGCCCATGTGCCCATCAGGAGTCAAGCTCAAATCAAGGGAACCTTTCTGAGTCTGATGCCAGCCTCTCTGAGCCAAAACTTATTAGAGGAAGACTGAGTTCGACAGAAACATCCCACAAAAGAAATTCAAATGTTGTGATTCACATACATTCAAAATGGGATCATGAATGTTCATACATCAGCTCATTTTGCTTCAAAAAAAATTGCAATTCTGGGGAACTAGAAGTAGAAAGTACATGAAGATTTAAGAGAGATAGAAAAAGAGAAACAAAGAGGTCACTGTTCCTGAAAGTACCCCAAATTCTTCCATGTTTTTCTCCAGTCATGCCTGAATTAACTCATTTTACGTCCTTCTTAGGAATCTCTCTCCCCTCTCCCAGTTTCTAAAAACCAATCACCTAGTGCCACCTTCTTCAGCCTGATGCCCTCCAGAGATGTTGGCTTACAGCTGCCATAATGGTTAACTAGATGTGTAGATCAGCTGCATCATTGTGTTGCTGCAGCAACCATCTCCAGCTCTGAACTTGGCACCAGGATCAGGCCTTCTCGGAGATGTGGGGAGGTTCAGGCCACTTCCAACTCTTGAGGGACTAAGCCAAAATTAATAAAAACTTATGAAAACAGAATAAAGGTATCCCGGGGGGTAATGGTGGTGAAAATGTGCAAGATAGTGGGCACAACATTGAGATAAAAGCCCTGCCTCTTTTGTACATGTGTGCAACTTCAGCGTGCCTGCCATCTTGCAGTTTTTGACATCAAAAGAACAAAAGATGAAACATAATTTAGCTATTTTAAACAGAATAAAAAGCAGTTGTCTAAAATTGAGTCGTCTGTGTGCTTGAGGCCCAGAGGAAACGGCCCTCCTGCTTTGCTCCCCCCGACATTGGCCCCATTTCTCAGCACAGCTTTCAAATTGTCTCATAAATTTAAAAACAAAATACCTCAATGAGAAATTTATATAGCAGATACTTTGGGGGAATTGGGGAGAATGTTCACACTGGGATGGAAGACAACAGAGCTGAAGGCAGAGGCCCATTTAAGATGGAGTCCTGTGGATGGCCAGGAGCGGGCTGCCATTTACTTTTCCACAGCTCTAATGGATCCATCCTGCATACAGTCGAGGGGGCTGATCCTGACAGCATTGCACTGGTGGCTTCCCGTGTGCTGGAGCTCTCCATCCCAGCATCCCCTGTGCAGATCCACCATCTTGCTGAGGAGATCAAGGAACGGGTCAGCAGCCTGGCCAACGTGGATGCTATCTTGGATCAAACAGCAGGGGACGTCCGCGTCGCAGGGCAGCTACTACAGGACGCACGCCGGGCCAAGTGAGTATGGCAGGGAGGGTGGGGGGGCCGTCAGGACAAGCAGAGCTAAATCCATTTTTAGCTGGATTCTGACCCATTTTTAACTGGAGAACGTTTGTATATGAGTTGAACGTGCTACGTGTCAGAAATTGGAACTGCATTTCCGTGGGCCTTTTCTCTCTACTGAATTGAAGTATGCTCCAACATTGCTTGAGCTGGCAGAAAACTATAGTATCTCATCTAAACAGTCTGGGAAATTCACAAGCAAGGATAGTGCAGACAAATGAACCTCTCTGCTTTATATTCTGCATATCTTTGATATACAGTGGTCAGGTTCAGCCCAAGAACCACAGCGAGACAAATCCAGGAACAGCTCAGTTACTTTATTA